GATGTATTTCTGCACAAATAAACATAGGAAATAGGCACAAATGTCTAAATGTTCTCAGCAGGTAATAATAATAATAATAATAATAATAATAATAATAATAATAATTTATTATTTATACGCCGCCCATCTGGCTGAGTTTCCCCAGCCACTCTGGGCGGCTCCCAATCAAGTGTTAAAAACAATACAGCGTTACATATTAAAAACTTCCCTGAACAGGGCTGCCTTAAGATGTCTTCTGAATGTCAGGTAATTGTTTATCTCTTTGACATCTGATGGGAGGGCGTTCCACAGGGCAGGCGCCACTACCGAGAAAGCCCTCTGTCTGGTTCCCTGTAGCCTCACTTCTCGCAATGAGGGAACCGCCAGAAGGCCCTCGGCGCTGGACCTCAGTGTCCGGGCAGAATGATGGGGGTGGAGACGCTCCTTCAGGCATACAGGACCGAGGCCGTTTAGGGCTTTAAAGGTCAGCACCAACACTTTGAATCGTGCTCGGAAACGTACTGGGAGCCAATGCAGATCTCTCAGAACTGGTGTAATGTGGTCCCGGCGGCCACTCCCAGTCACCAGTCTAGCTGCCGCATTCTGGATTAATTGCAGTTTCCGGGTCACCTTCAAAGGTAGCCGCACGTAGAGCGTGTTGCAGTAGTCCATGCGTGGGATAACTAGAGCATGCACCACTCTGGCGAGACAGTTCGCGGGCAGGTAGGGTCTTAGCCTGCGTACCAGGTGGAGCTGGTAGACAGCTGCCCTGGACACAGAGTTAACCTGCGCCTCCATGGACAGCTGTGAGTCCAAAATGACTCCCAGGCTGCGCATCTGGTCCTTCAGGGGCACAGTTACCCCATTCATGACCAGGGAATTCCCCACACCAACCCGCTCCCTGTCCCCCAAAAACAGTACTTCTGTCTTGTCAGGATTCAACCTCAATCTGTTAGCTGCCATCCATCCTCCAACTGCCTCCAGGCACTCACACAGGACCTTCACCCCCTTCACTGGTTCTGATTTAAAGGAGAGGTAGAGCTGGGTGTTATCTGCATACTGATGAACACCCAGCCCAAACCCCCTGATGATCTCTCCCAGCGGCTTCATATAGATGATACCCAGCCAAATTGGCCAAATTGGCCAGGTCTAAAGATGTTTTTTTAAGAAGCAGTTTAATGACCGCCTCTTTCAGCGGGTCTGGGAAGGCTCCCTCACAGAGAGAAGCATTCACGACCCCGCAAAGCCCATCTCCCAGCCCTTCCCAGCTCGCTTTTATCAGCCAGGACGGGCAAGGATCAAGGAGACAGGTGGTCGGTTTCACTTGTCCAAGCAGCATGTCCACATCCTCGGAGGTAACAGATTGGAATTGATCCCATGTAACAGGACCAGACAGAACTCTAGCACTCTCCCGCCCTGGCCCTGCTCCCACGGTGGAGTCTACCTCCTTCTGAATCTGAGCGACTTTGTCTGCAAAAAAACTTTGCAAAAGCATTGCAGGAGATCTTGGGGTCCCTACCAGGCCCTGGTGGTGCAGGTGGTTCCGATAGATTCCGAACCACCTGAAAAAGTTTCCTGCTGTTTTCTGCAGATGCAATGGAGGCGCGAAGAAGGCCCTCTTCGCCATCACCATTGCCACTTGGTAGGCTTGACGTTGAGCTCTAGCCCGTGTCCGGTCTGATTCAGAATGAGTTTTCCGCCACCGGCGCTCTAGCCGTCTCAATGATTGTTTCATCACCCTCAGCTCCGGGGAAAACCACGGGGCTGTCCGGGCTCCATGCAATCGAAGAGGGCGCTTCGGAGCCAGACAGTCCATAGCCCTGGTTAACTCTACATTCCAGCGGGCCACCAGGGAATCAGCTGAAAGGCCATCAGCTTGGGATAAAACATCCCCTACCACTCTCTGGAAGCCAATTGGATCCATTAAGTGGCAGGGGCGGACCATCCGAATCTGTCCCACCTCCCTGCAGAGGGGAAGGGTTGCGGAGAAGTCCAGTTGCACCAGGAAGTGATCTGACCATGGCACTACTTTTGCTTTTTTTTTTTTTAAATTAATATTTATTAAAGTTTCAGAAAAAATAGAATCACATTAATAAACAAGAAAAATTTAAAAAGAAAAAAGAAAAATACACAATACAAAATACAAAAAGATAAAAAGAAAAAAGAAAAACAGTTAAAAACAATTCCATCTTTTCATAACTTCTTTTAGATTTACTTGTTTCCCGGACTTCCTCATACCTCCCTCTTTTGTATTCCAATTCAGTTTGTTAGTCCAGCAATTTCTTTCCCTCCTTTTTAATCCCAATCCTTAATCTTAATATATTATAACATTAGATTTTTACCTATTTAAAACCAATTTTTCCATTCTTTTAACCTTTTTAATCCTAATCCTTAATCTTGATATATTTATAACTTTAAAGTCTGTACAGCTAGAAGCCACTTAAGTTCAATCCAACATCACTCTAACATTCATTAATTTTGCAATGTTTCTGTAGATAATCTTTGAATTTCTTCCAATCTTCTTCCACCGACTCTTCTCCCTGGTCACGGATTCTACCAGTCATTTCTGCCAATTTCATGTAGTTCATCATTTTCATCTGCCATTCCTCCAGTGTGGGTAGCTCTTGTGTCTTCCAATACTTTGCGATGAGTATTCTTGCTGCTGTTGTAGCATACATAAAGAAAGTTCTATCCTTTTTTAACACCGATTGGCCGACTATGCCCAGGAGAAAGGCCTCTGGTTTCTTCAGAAAGGTATATTTAAATACCTTTTTCAATTCATTATATATCATTTCCCAGAAAGCCTTAATCCTTGGGCATGTCCACCAAAGGTGAAAAAATGTACCCTCAGTCTCTTTACATTTCCAACATTTACTATCTGGCAAATGATAGATTTTTGCTAGCTTCACTGGGGTTAAGTACCACCTGTAAATCATTTTCATTATATTTTCTCTTAAGGCATTACAAGCCGTAAATTTCATACCTGTGGTCCATAACTGTTCCCAGTCAGCAAACATAATGTTATGTCCAAAATCTTGTGCCCATTTAATCATAACAGATTTAACCGTTTCATCCTGTGTATTCCATTTCAACAGCAAGTTATACATTCTTGACAAATTCTTAGTTTTAGGATTTAACAATTCTGTTTCCAATTTTGATTTTTCCTCCTGGAAACCAATCTTCTTATCTAAATTATAAGCCTCCCTTATTTGATAATAATGAAGCCAGTCTCGAACTTTAGTTTTTAATTTATCAAAGCTCTGCAGCTTTAATCTATCTCCATCTTGTTCTAAAATTTCACAGTATTTTGGCCAATTTGTCTCCATATTAGTTTTTTTCAGAGCCTTAGCCTCCATTGGTGACAGCCACCTTGGTGTTTTACTTTCCAACAGATCTTTATATCTTACCCAGACATTAAACAATGCTTTCCTGACAATATGGTTCTTAAAGGCCTTATGTGCTTTAACCTTGTCATACCATAAGTATGCATGCCATCCAAAGACATTGTTAAAACCTTCTAAATCCAAAATGTCCGTGTTTTCAAGAAGCAGCCAATCTTTCAGCCAGCAAAATGCGGCTGATTCATAATAAAGTTTAAGATCTGGCAGGGCAAATCCACCTCTTTCTTTAGCTTCTTTACCTTCAGTTTCTTTACATTTCCAACATTTATTATCAGGCAAATGGTAGATTTTTGCAAGCTTAACTGGGGTTATGTACCACCTGTATATCATTTTCATAATATTCTCTCTTAAGGCATTACATGCCGTAAACTTCATACCTGTGGTCCATAACTGTTCCCAGTCAGCGAACATAATGTTGTAATAATCTGATCCCATATATTAAGAACATTAACTTTAAAATGAACAACTTCTACTAGTGGCCAAAATTGTGGAAACCTATTTTGAAAGGTGTATTTCTGAGGTTTGGTGGCTCATAACACCACTTTTGTGTGGAGTAATACCATAAAATTATATAGCAATGGAAAGATAATTTAATGAAGAAAGTAATGCAATGACTTTTATGAAGGAGTATTTATTAGAACAGCAGTCATAAAGAAAAAAACGTGAAACCTTTGGTAACCATTGGTAACCTTTAGCTTTAATTACGGCCTTACAACGCCTTCACTTGAAGTGAACCAAGTCTTTAGTTCTGCAGCTGTAATAATGGGAAACCAAGACTGAATTATTGCCTCTGTTAATAGAGCTTTATTGCTGGGTTGCTTCTGACTAACAAGTTTCTTTAGTCGGCTCCATGCAAGCAGCATGGATTTCTAAAGCCCCATCTGTAGTTAGAGATGCCCTGTTTCATCTGTGAGAGAAGCCGGCACTCCTGGCGTCCTGCTTACCTTTTCTCTCTTGCAGGTGGCAGAAGGATGCCGGCAAGACCTCCTGCTCCGCCTTTTCCTGGGGGCAGAAGGGAAGCAGCGGCTCTGGAACCAGATCAGGTCAGGGGAAGCTGCCTTGTGGGGACAGAGGCCGAGGGATGGAGCAATGTCATGGACTGGTTGGGCACAGAGGAATGGTGGGAGGAAGCAGCCAGGGAACCAGGAAGGGAAAACGGCTGAGAGCCGAAGGAGTGGAGGTGGAGGAAGTATGAGCGGTCAGAGGAAGAAGAGGGAGCAGTCTGGGAAGAGGAGGTGTCAGAAGCTGAAGGGGAAACAGGGCTTAGTGAGCTGGGAGACTCTGTGGCAGAATGCAATGCAGAATCAGAGGCAGAAGAGGAAGGAGGCAAGTGGGAGAGGAAGGTCGAGAGGCTGAGGTGAGTCAGGAGAAGGAAGAGCCACCGGTGGCTCCCTCTCCTTTTGCCAGAAGCCACCCCCTGGGCTTGTCTCTCTGAGCCAGGAGAGCCCCTGCAATGCAGGAATCTCTGCTAGATCATCCAAGACAGATGGCCATCAAAAACAGGCTTATTTTATTTCTAGATTGATAACTGAATGCAAAAATTGTTTTCTAAGCAGTGGACAAATGAGAACAAATAGCGGCCTGGATTCACCGAACCAGCCCCATCGGCTGCAAAATGGGGCCTGCCTCCTATTCCTCCTAATCTGGTGAACCAGGTCCTCCACATGCAGCTGCTGGGTGACCTTGGGCTTAGTCACATTTCTCCGAAGTCTTACAGCTCCACTCACCTCACAGAGTGTTTGTTATGGGGGAGGAAGGGAAAGGAGAATGTTAGCCGCTTTGAGACTCCTTAGGGTAGTGATAAAGCGGGATATCAAATCCAAACTACTCTACTCCCCCTCTCTATGCCCCCATGAACCCCTGGAATTTGGCTCTAGGGCATTGGGAGGCAACTCCCCAGAACAGCTCACGAGGAGAGGAGAAAGTGGATCCTTCCATTGGGGAAACTGGAATGCTTGCCTAGGCAGAATGACTTGAATAAGACAAGGTGGAGTACAACCTATTTGCACAAAAACGAATACCCATAATTTAAACTTAGAATAAAATAAGCATCCATAAATAAAATGTGCAGCAAAGCAATCCTGTTGAAACAACTCCCCTGCGTGAGTGCCTGAGGGCCCCGCTCCTGCCACTCACCACCTGGCCCAGGGCGGGGCCTGAAGCCTCATAAGGACAGTTGTTGCTGCTGCTGCTCCTGCTGGCCAGGAGGACTCGGAGCGGCGCAATGTTCTTTTTAAAATTTTCTTTTTTCCCTTTTGATTACTTTTTTTGTGGGGGGTGGGATGGATGTTTGATTGGGTTCGGGAATTTGTTTGATTTTGATGTGTTTGTAATTTTTACAGTTTTACTTATCCTGACCGGACACGGGTTAGAGCTCAACGTCAAGCCTACCAAGTGGCGGTAGCGACGGCAAAGAAGACTTTCTTCGCCGCCTCTATTGCATCTGCAGAAAACAACACCAGGAGACTTTTTCAGGGGGTTCGCAATTTAGTGGAACCACCTGCTACATTGGGGCCCAGTATGGGCCACATGATCTCCTGCAATGATTTTGCAAAGTTTTTTGCAGATAAAGTTGCTCAGATTCAGGAAGAGGTAGACTCCACCGTGGGAACAGGGCCAGGGCGGGAGAGTGCTAGTGTCCTGTCTAGTCAAGTTGCGTGGGATCAGTTCCAATCTCTTACCTCCGAGGATGTGGACAGGCTGCTTGGACGAGTGAAACCAACCACCTGTCTCCTTGATTCTTGCCCATTCTGGCTTATAAAAGCTAGCCGGGAAGGGCTGGGAGATGGGCTTCGTGGGGTCGTGAATGCTTCTCTCTGTGAGGGAGCCTTCCCAGACCCGCTGAAAGAGGCGGTTATCAAACCGCTTATTAAAAAACCATCTTTAGATGCTGCCAATATGGCTAACTATCGCCCAGTCTCAAATCTTCCATTCTTGGGCAAGGTGATTGAGCGCGTGGTTGCTGAACAACTCCAGGCACGCCTGGAAGAAGTACACCATTTGGATCCCTTCCAGTCGGGATTCAGGCCTCATCATGGGACTGAAACTGCCTTGGTCGCACTGGTGAATGATCTCTGGTGGGCTAGGGACAAAGCTGTTTCCTAGTTCTGCTGGATCTCTCAGCGGCGTTTGATACCATCGACCATAACATCCTTCTGGACCGTCTTGAGGGGCTGGGAGCTGGGGGCACTGTCATACAGTGGTTCCGCTCCTTCCTCCTGGGCCGTGTCCAAAAAGTGGTGGTGGGGGATGAGTGTTCAGACCCCTGGGCTCCCACTTGTGGGGTGCCTCAGGGTTCCGTCCTCTCCCCCATGCTTTTCAACATCTACATGCAGCCGCTGGGAGAGATCATCAGGGGGTTTGGGCTGGGTGTTCATCAGTATGCAGATGATACCCAGCTCTACCTCTTTTTCAAATCGGAACCAGTGAAGGCGGTGAAATTTCTGTGTGAGTGTCTAGAGGCGGTTGGAGGATGGATGGCGGCTAACAGATTGAGGTTGAATCCTGACAAGACAGAAGTACTATTTTGGGGGGACAGGAGGCGTGGTGTGGGGGACTCCCTGGTCCTGAATGGGGTAACTGTGCCCCTGAAGGACCAGGTGCGCAGCCTGGGAGTCATTCTGGACTCGCAGCTGTCCATAGAGGCACAGGTCAATTGTGTGTCCAGGGCAGCTGTTTATCAGCTCCATCTGGTATGCAGGCTGAGACCCTCCCTGCCCGCAGACTGTCTCTCCAGAGTGGTGCATGCTCTGGTTATCTCTTGCTTGGACTACTGCAATGCGCTCTATGTGGGGGTACCTTTGAAGGTGACCCGGAAACTACAACTAATCAAAAATGTGGCAGCTAGACTGGTGACTGGGAGTGGCCGCCTGTTGGTTTCTGCTTTCCTTCACTGTGCAGCAACTGCTGTCATGAGACAGGTGTTTACATTCCACAGTCTGTACTGTTGGAGTTTCTCACGGGAAAGGGAGACTGGATGTGACGTACACTGGTTTCCTGTTTTTCACTCTGTGTGATTCTCTCCAAGCTGTTGAGGAGAGAGGATGCATTTTCTGCTCCTGCAGAGGCAAGATGTCTTTCTGTAATATACCAGCTTTGAACTGTAAATAAAGCAATATAGAGTATGTAACACATTTTCCTCATCCTTCCGCTGGGCACGACAGACTCTGCTTTAAATCAACACCTGGTTATGGGCCCAGACGTCGAATCGGAGTGCCGGCAGAGGATCGGAATGCAGAGGGAGGACGGATCGGAAAGGAATCTGCTCTGCGCGTAGAAGTGATTGATGAGGTATGTGCTACTGCTCCGGGCAGCCTGCCAGCTTCAAGTTAATGGCTTTATGGCTGGACTTTGAACTTTTAAAGCCGGTTTGCAGGGAATAGGCAAAAGGCTCCCAGGCACAAGTCACTATGCTGGGAAATCGAAAGTAACTTTTAAGTGTGCCTTTGTAATGAGGCAGCTGCAGCAGTGACGCAGCAAGATTTAAAGCAGCATATGACGCTGAAGGCTAATGCCAGAGTCATGATGGCCCTTCAGGATGCTTGTGGGATTCCTAAGCTCAACAAGAAAAATTACAGCGACTGGGTTCAGTATGCAGAGGCAATTCTGCGGAAGAGGGTTTGTTTGAGGTGATTACAGAAACCCCCAGTTCCAGTTACAGATGCATGGGAAGCTAAGGATTCCAAAGCAAGGGAACTCTTACATTGATAGTATCCCCAGAAGAGCTCTGTCTATTGCGTGATAAGACCTCAGCCAGAGAAATTTGGGACGCTCTGAGAGAGGCTCACTTAAGGACAGAAGCTGGATCCACTATGTTTTATTTTAACAAGCTGCATAATATGGCTCTTGCTGAAGGTGGAGATGTGCGTTTACATCTGATGGAGATGCAAAATCTGAGACATGAGCTGCAACAGAGAGGACTCAACTTTCCAGAGGCTGTGTATTCTTTCATGATACTACAATCTTTGGGTTCAGGTTGGGAGTCTGTTGCAACCCAGATTGCTGTGCAACCAACTGCTCAGCTGACAGTGGACTTTGTTACTGCCGTGATTTTAAATGAAGCAGATCGCCGGGGTGCTAGCTGCATGGGCAAGGAGAGTCTTCACAGACGTCATCCCATAGTGCAGTGGAACCACCAGATGGCGCCAAAGCTTTGAAGGCAGTCAAATGCTACTCGTGTGGACGTCTAGGCCATATGAAGAGGGATGCAGACATCCCAGGGCCAAGACAGAGCAGCGCAGCGAAAGCTCATCGCGCGGAAAAGGCCGAGGCAAAGGCAAAGGTCCGGTGTCTAGGACAACGCAGCACAAGGCTATGGTTTCACGCTTCACTCCAAAGGTTGCAGAGGTCCAGAAGACGTCTAGATCTTTCTTCGTTGTTGATTCAGCGGCCACCCACCACATGTGCAACGATAAGAAACTGTTTGTGTCTTTTACACCGCAGGAAGGTGCGATTCACCAGGCGGATGACCACACTATTCCCAGTAAAGGCTACGGAACTGTTGTTCTTCACAGTTTGGACTTATCGATACAGAATGTGCTTTACGTGCCAGACGCCAAACATAATCTGCTCAGCGTTGGACAGCTGAATGAGCGGAACATTGACGTTTCCTTCAAGAACAAGAAGTGCATCATCACAAAGAAAAATGATTATGTATTGCATGCAGAATATGTTGATCATTTGTTTGTTTTGTATTATGATGATGTGGTGCAGGATGACACTTGTTGCATTGCAGGTTCTAACAAAAGTTTGCATGCAGAATGTATTCACGATTTTCATCGCAAATTTGGTCATTTGCATTTTGAGGCAGTATCTAAAATGCCTGCCTTGGTTGAAGGTATGACTATTAAACCCTGCAGGTACCACATGAAGTGCAAAGCATGCGCAGCAAACAAAGTGAAAATGGCTGCGAAAGGTAAGGTGTCTAGTAGGAAAGCTACAGAACCATACCAGGTTGTTCATGCTGATTTGGTTGGACCACTATCGCCCTCTTTGGGTGGAAATAGATACTTCATGGTTCTCATTGATGCATTTTCTAGATATATTTTTGTGTACAATCTCAAGCAGAAATCGGAGGCTTTTCCTAGGTTCAAGGAATTCTGTGCTTGGTTGGAAAATGTGCATGGTAAGAAGATAAAGACTCTTTTCAGTGATCGCGGGGAATTCACTTCTCAGCAGTTTGAAGCTTTTCTGACTGAGAAAGGAATTCAACACGATTTGTCTAGTCCTCGCTCGCCATGGCAGAATGGACTTGCGGAGCAGGCAAATCAGACATTGCTTCAAGGGTTAAAGACCTTGCTGCATGATGCCAATCTTCCAGAGAGTTATTGGGCCGAATCTCTCTCGTGTTTTGTTTACAGTTACAATCGCAGGTTATCTTCAGCGATTGGATGTACCCCCTATGAGAAGATGTTTGGCAGAAGCCATACATCAAACACATGAAGATTTTGGTTCTGACATGTGGGTTCACTCACCACAAAACTCCAAGTTAGACAAGCGTGGATTGCATGGTATCTTTCTAGGTTATCAGAAAGGGTCTTACAGAATAATGATGACTGACTCTAAGACAATTAAGCTCACGAGAAGTGTTGAGTACAATGCAAAGTGGGGTGAGAATGTGGGAATTTTCCAATGTTATCCTGATGACGGTGATGAGACTGAGGATAGTCAAAAGCAACCACAACAGCCCACACCCACTGATGAAGGTTCTGAGTCTGAATCTGAAACTGAATCGGGTGATTCAGAGGATTTCAAGAGTGCGAAAGCCTCTATGCGACCCTCTGAAAGCTCTGATCAAGAATTGGAGGAACCATTGTTCACAATAGGTCGTTTTTCTCCTAAGAAGGAAGAGGAGAGTGTTGAAGACTTAAGGCTAATTCGTAGGTCACAGAGAGCCACAAAAGCCAAACCTCCAAAGAGATTTGCTGATGAGTTTGCTAAGATAGCAGTAACAGCTGTTAAAAGCTCCAAGAAGGTATTTGAACCTTCAAGTTTCCAAGAAATCCAGGGTTTGGATTCAAAGGAAGCTGAGCCATGGTTAAATGCCATGAAGGCTGAGCTTGATTCCTTAGAAAGGAACAAAACATGGGAGCTAGTTCCAGTAGTTCCAGGAATGAAACTGCTTGGAAGCAAATGGGTCTTCAAAGCGAAGACAGATCAAAATGGCAAGATAGTCAGACACAAAGCCAGATTGGTAGCCAGAGGTTTTGCACAGGTACCAGGTGAAGACTATCACGAGACCTATTCACCCACAGTGAGATATGAAAGCATTAGGCTTATGCTCAAGCTAGCTGCAGAGGAAAATCTACACATTAGTCACCATGATATTAATACAGCTTTTCTGTACGGATCTCTAGATGAATCACTTTATATGCTTCCACCTGATGGCGTACAGGTTAAACAGGGATTTGTTTGTGCTCTGAAGAAATCCCTTTATGGTCTCAAACAAAGTGCACGGTGTTGGCACACAAAACTCACTGAAGTATTGTTTTCTCTAGGTTTTCAGCAAGGAAAGCTGATCCATGTGTATTTGTCAAGAGGAGGGGCAAAAGAAACTGTACTGTTTGTTTTATGTTGATGATTTATTATTCTTTTGGAAAGATGTCGCAATGTACAATAACGCCCTAGCTCAACTGAAAGAGCACTTTGACATGAAAGATCTTGGTGAGGTAAACAACTACCTATCTCTGGAAATAGAGAGAGATCAAGATGGTAACATTCTAGTACACCAGTCACGGAAAATTGCTGATGTGTTAAGCAAACTAAATCTGATGGATGCTAACCCTGTAGACACACCGATGACAACAGGTTATCAGGTAGATGACACTGAAGAAGCATTTTCTGACACTACACTGTACAGGAGTGTGCTAGGCAAGCTAAACTTCATTGCCAGATGTTCAAGACCAGACATTGCTGTTAGCTGTAATTTGCTAAGCAGACAAGTCAACAATCCTAGTGTCAAGGATTGGAAAGCTCTGAAACGCATAGCGCGGTATTTGAAAGGCACTATGCATTACAGACTGAGATTTAACAATCAGAAGTCTGGTGGTCTTGAGATATTTGCAGATGCAAGTTTTGGAAGTGACACTACAGACAGGAAAAGTACGTCTGGAGTTTGCTATATGTACAATCAGAGTCTGTTTGATTGGTCATGCAAGAAGCAAACAACAGTTAGCTTAAGTACTTGTGAAGCCGAACTGAATGCACTGTCTTATTCACTTAAGGATTGTGAATGGTTAGTACAATTGTGCAAAGATATGAAAATTCCTGTCAAATGTCCAATCCAGGTTTACCAGGACAACAAAGCATGTTTGGCTTTGCTGAAGTCTGAAGGTTGTAAGCAAAGCACAAAGCACTTGCAATTAAAGTTGCAGCATGCTAGGGAATGTATTCAGAAGGGACTCGTAACGGTGTCCTATATGCCAGGTAATGAAATTCCTGCTGATGTATTGTCCAAGATTGTATCGAGGGATCAACACTGTACCTATGTGCAGAAGTTGGGTTTGTACTGATACTGTACGAACACGCTGCCCAGTGATGTTCACAGACAGGGGGAGGATGTTGGTTTCTGCTTTCCTTCACTGTGCAGCAACTGCTGTCATGAGACAGGTGTTTACATTCCACAGTCTGTACTGTTGGAGTTTCTCACGGGAAAGGGAGACTGGATGTGACGTACACTGGTTTCCTGTTTTTCACTCTGTGTGATTCTCTCCAAGCTGTTGAGAAGAGAGAATGCATTTTTCTGCTCCTGCAGAGGCAAGATGTCTTTCTGTAATATACCAGCTTTGAACTGTAAATAAAGCAATAAAGGGTATGTACCACATTTTCCTCATCCTTCCGCTGGGCACGACAGACTCTGCTTAAATCAATCAATCAATCAATCAAATCAATAAATCAATGCGCTCTATGTGGGGCTACCTTTGAAGGTGACCCGGAAACTACAACTAATCAAAAATGTGGCAGCTAGACTGGTGACTGGGAGTGGCCGCCGAGACCATATAACACCGGTCTTGAAAGACCTACACTGGCTCCCAGAACGTTTCTGAGCACAATTCAAAGTGTTTCTGCTGACCTTGAAAGCCCTAAATGGCCTCGGTCCAGTATACATGAAGGAGCGTCTCCACCTCCATCGTTCTTCCCAGACACTGAGATCCAGTGCTGAGGGCCTTCTGGCGGTTCCCTCGCTGCGAGAAGCCAAGTTACAGGGAACCAGGCAGAGGGCCTTCTCAGTAGTGGCACCCGACCTGTGGAACGGCCTCCCACCAGATGTCAAAGAGAAAAATAACTACCAAACTTTTAGAAGACATCTAAAGGCAGCCCTGTTTAGGGACACTTTTAATGTTTAAGAGATTATTGTATTTTAGAGTTTTTTGGAAGCCGCCCAGAGTGGCTGGGGAAACCCAACCAGATGGGCGGGGTATAAATTATAAATTTATTATTATTATTATTATTTAATAATATTATTAACAGGAAGGAAAGAACACAGCATTGTGTAGCAGATCATATTTCTGCTGTCTCAGAGGAGGACCTTTCCCTTTTTCTTTTAGGGTCCAGTGTGCTTTGAAGATGTCGCTGTTTGTTTCACGGACGAGGAGTGGGCGTTGCTGGATCCTGACCAGAGAGCTCTGCATAAGAACGTCATGGAGGAGAATTGTGGGATATTGGCCTCTCTTGGTAAGGCTCCCTGTGGGATCGTCATATCTGTGAGGAGAACCTGAGCTTACAGGGTTAAACAGCTCAGAGTGTACGCTCTGCCTACTAGTGGGAGGGGGGAAAAGCTACGTCAGTTCCGAGAAACTCAAGTCTTTGTTCTGTCTCTCTACTTTCGCTTTTGAGGAGAGAGGACGTGTTTTCACGATGCTGTTCGCTGTGATAGATAATGGATAGCCTGCTGTAAATAAAGCTGCTTTTAGCTGCTAAGATCCTGTGTGGACTTTATTTAAGCACACTGAAGAATGCACTGGAGTGTTTTGCAGCTTCCTCTAGCCGCTGTTGATCTCAACTCTGCTATGCTCAGAAGTATCGGACATTGGAATGCAGAGGCCCGCGATGGGGAAGCGTGCCGGACCTCAGGCTTATCTGAGCAATAAATCAATTTATCTAAGAATATCTGCCTGGAAATTCAAAAAATATGTCTATGGACCAACCTCATATATTTTCACAGAGCTCAATAGTGGCCCCTATAACACCTGGGAACCTAACACCCCCACAATAAAAAGTAACTTACAGTTTTTTCTTTGAACAATCTTCCTCAAATTATTCCTTTTTCTACCACGATTGGGCTGGTGTGAACTTCCCAGGCCATCTTCAGTGTCAGCTTCAACCTTCCACAATTTTGACCACTACTATATATCAGGCAAAACAACATTCAACAACTCTTCAGAATCTAATAATAAATATGTTGGTAAAATGACAAACAACACAGGTAATGAACACACACCCAACTCGTTTCATTTCTTCTCCATTTGTTCCTGAGGCTCTAATCCCTTTTTGTCTCCATTGCAGATTCTGATGAATTGGAAATTGAGAGCAAAGGTGACCACGATAAAATCCCCAGGGAGGAGAAGCCACGTAAAAATTTGGAGTGTGGAGAAAGCTGCAGTCAGAGCTCCCATTCCACTTCCCATCAACAAAATCTCATTGGAAAGAAACTCTATCAGTGCATGGAATGTGGAAAAAGCTTCAGGAAGAGCTCTGATCTCACTTCCCATCAAAGAATTCATACAGGGGAGAAACCCTATAAGTGCGTGGAATGTGGAAAGAGCTTCAGGAATAGCTCCCATCTCACTTCCCATCAAAGAATTCATACAGGGGAAAAACCCTATCAGTGTGTGGAATGTGGAAAGAGCTTCACAGATAGTTCCTCTCTCATTTCCCATCAAAGAATTCATACAGGGGAGAAACCCTATCAGTGTGTGGAATGTGGAAAGAGCTTCAGTCAGAGCTCCTCTCTCACTTTCCATCAAAGAATTCATACAGGGGAGAAACCATATCAGTGCGTGGAATGTGGAAAGAACTTCAGGAAGAGTTCCAATCTCACTAAGCATCAGAGAATTCATACAGGGGAGAAACCCTATCAGTGTGTCAAATGTGGAAAGAGCTTCACTGAAAGCTCCTCTCTTACTTCCCATCAAAGAATTCATACAGGGGAGAAACCCTATCAGTGCGTGGAATGTGGAAAGAGCTTCACTCACAACCACAGTCTCACTTTCCATCAAACAATTCATACAGGGGAGAAACCCTATCAGTGCGTGGAATGTGGAAAGAGCTTCAGGAAGAGCTCCTCTCTTACTTCCCATCAAAGAATTCATACAGGGGAGAAACCCTATCAGTGTGTGGGATGTGGAAAGAGCTTCACTCACAGCCACAGTCTCACTTTCCATCAAACAATTCATACAGGGGAGAAACCCTATCAGTGCGTGGAATGTGGAAAGAACTTCAGGAAGAGCTCCTCCCTTACTTCCCATCAAAGAATTCATACAGGGGAGAAACCCTATCAGTGTGTGGAATGTGGAAAGAGCTTCACATGTAGCTCTTCTCTCACTTCCCATCACAGAATTCATACAGGGGAGAAACCCTATCAGTGCGTGGAATGTGGAAAGAGCTTCAGTCAGAGCCAAAATCTCACTTCCCATCAAAGAATTCATACAGGGGAGAAACCCTATCAGTGTCTGGAATGTGGAAAGAGCTTCAGTCAGAGGGCCAATCTTACTTCCCATCAAAGAATCCATACAATGGTCGAAAAAACCATTATACAGCTTTAGGAACCAGGCAGACGCACCTTTTTAACCAGGCTTTTGGCTGATTGACATCTAATGCCCTTTTAATATGTGGTGTGCTTTTTTATGTTTTTTGTTGTTGGAACCATCCTGAGACCTGTGGGTGTAGGGAATAGGCGCCAACTCTTAAAGGCCTAGGGTTCTTTGCCCCACCCCCAATAAAATATTTAAGGATGCCACCCCCCAGTTTTTGGTGTGTTTTTTTCAAACACAACCTTTTATTCTTCTGCAACTTGCCATACAATTTCTCTTTCAATTTGCCCTCTTAAAAAATAAACGCACAAAGGTCATGAGGAAAACAAAATACAAGAAGATACAAACATGGACAGGTCCCATCTTTGCGGGCAAAATGGAAAAGTTGCTTTGAAGGAGGATTTCCCAAACTTGGGTCCCCAGCAGCTCCTGGACTACAGTTCCCATCATCCCTTCCCACTGGTCCTGCTAGCTAGGGATGATGGGAGTTGTAGTCTAAAAACAGCTGGAGACCCAAGTTTGCTTTAAAGGGAAAGTAGGCTGGCCTTGTGACACCCTCTGCTGGCCAAAAGCACTGCCCCAGAATGTGAACCACCCCCAGTACTGCTAATTGGAATTTATAGAGCACAAAACTGAAGTTTGATCGGCACTTCAACCACTAGGGAGCTTCTAGGGAGCTTCTAGGAGATGGAATGCTAGAAGTGTTCTCCGGGGCAAGGGGAGCTGCTGAGAAATTGAACTACGGGCGCAAAATATTACTTTTTTAAAAAGTTGCTGCCATTATAGGCATTGCCATTCAAATGGAGTGCATGCATCCTGTGATCGATAGTGCAAACAGGACTTACCTGACCCCCCATCAATATTTTATTCAAGTTGACACCACTGGGTCGGGTGGTTTACAGATTAAATACATAAATCGCCTCCCTTTGCACATGTCAATATCCTCATTTATTATTTTTAAAATTTATTCGCCCTTCATCTGAAGATTTTACAACATACAGGATGAAAGCATGGCTTTCTCAAAAACAAGTCAAGTCAGAGAAATCTCTCCTTTTTGGGGGGGGATAGAGTTACAAACTTTGTTGATCAAGGGACTGCTGTGGAAATTGTGCATCTTGATTTCAGTGAGGCTTTTGACAGAGTCCTCTGTGAGCTTTATGTGAGGAAGCTGGTAAAATGTGGGCTGAATGAGATATATGTCTTAGGACATCAAACTGGGAAAGAGGATTTTAAACTGACTGCAGAAGTTTTATGCCCTTGGGAATTTGGTCTCTTAAATCTACCCCTTCGCCTTCCGTTTCCGTGCACTGCTCTGGTTCGCCAGAAGCAGCTTAGTCATGCTGGCCACATGACCCGGAAGCTGTACGCCGGCTCCCTCGGCCAATAAAGTGAGATGAGCGCCACAACCCCAGAGTCGGCCACTACTGGGCCTAATGGTCAGCGGTCCCTTTACCTTTACCTATGCATTATAGCAGGGACGTCCAACTTCCAAGATGCTGAGATCTACTCCCAGTAATAAAAAACCTGCCAGTCATCTACCCATTGTCTTTGGCCAGAGTTGTTGAGCTTTTCTCAGGGAGCAGTGACCAGAGTTGTGGATCAACCAGTAGATCGCGATTGACCTGTTGCATATGCCTCCATTCTAGGAAATCGCAAAACAACATCAAACCTTGCGTTACGTGAAATACATTCGACAAACACAAGACGTAACCGGCTGTGGATTCACATAAACAATACTCTTCTATATATTCTTATCACAATATCAAATGTTTATCTTGCACATAAACAACACATAAAGTGCAATAATATAGACGGAAGTCCCAATAAATCAGTTCATTCATAAAGACCAAGTATCTGTTAGTTTCTGTTCCACATATGTGTTGGGATACTGCCAGGGAGATAAAGCCCATCCATGTCGCCTCCGGACGATCCATCGATCTCCCGTAGATACAGTATCAGCAATTAGCGACACAAGCCCCAGAAATAGCTTCCCACATTCCAGAGCTCTTGCACGCTCTATGCAGCAGATAATGCACAGCGAAAGATGCACGCAGGAGAGCATTATTTACAATTTTATTCAGCGTTGGTCAGAACAAAGAAAACATGACTGCCTGCTTCGGTGTCTCAGGCACAGAGAAACGAAAGCAATAGACCAAACATAAACTTCCTGTGAACAGGAAATATGCAGGCTGTGACTCACAAAGCCTGCTCCCTTTTAAGGTGGAATGGAAATATCCTAACATCCTCCCTCTTTCCGTGTAACCTGTAGTACCTGTGGTTCAACCCAATTGCAACCTCTGTACATAAACCTTAAGTTGTTCTCTGTTAACAACCTTAGACAACAGATCAGCAGGAATTTCATTTCCTGCCATGTAGGACACCTGAATGAGTCCTTTCTGAATACACTCTCTTGCACGATGTAACTTAATCTGCAAGTACTTGGTTCTTTGCTTGCAACTCTCTGAGTTCAGCAAAGCCAAACAGGATCTATTGTCTTGATACACTTGTATAGGACATTTCACAGAAACTCTGATGCCCTTAAACAGTTGCATCAACCATTCACAATCCATGAGTGAAAATGACAGAGCATTGAGTTCTGCTTCACAGGAACTTAGGCTTACTGTCGTCTGCTTTTTGCACAACCAGTCAAACAGGCAGTGGTTGTACATGTAGCATACTCCAGAAGTGCTTGTACCATCCGTTGTGTCACTTCCAAAACTAGCATCTGCAAAGATCTCAAGACCTCCAGTCTTCTGACTGGTGAACCTCAGCCTGTAGTGCAAAGTCCCTTTCAAATAGCGGGCTATGCGCTTCAGAGCTTTCCAATCCTGAACAGTAGGATTGTTAGCACGTCTGCTAAGCAGGTTGGTGCTTACAGCTATGTCAGGTCTTGAGCATCTAGCAATGAAATTCAACTTGCCTAGAATGCATCTGTACAGCGTAGTGTCAGAAAACGCTTCAGCAATACTGTCTACCTGGTAACCTGTCACCATCGGTGTGTCTGCTGGGTTTGCATCAACCAAATTCAACCTGGTTAATACATCAGCAATTTTCTGTGTTTGGTGTACCAGAAAATTACCTGCTTGGTCCCTCTCCACCTGCAGAGAAAGATAGTTGGATACCTCACCAAGATCCTTCATGTCAAAGTGCTCCTTCAGCTGAGCTAGGGTGCTTTGGTACAAAGCCTGATTCTTCCAAAACATCAGAAGATCATCAACAAAACATAAACAATACAGTTTGTTTTGCCCCTCCTCCTTGACAAACACACATGGATCAGCTTTGCCCTGGTGAAAACCTAGAGAAAGCAATGTCTCAGTGAGTTTTGTGTTCCAACACCTGGCACTCTGCTTGAGACCATATAAGGATTTCCGCAGTTTACAGACCATTCCCTTCTGTATCTGCATCCCATCAGGTGGAAGCATAAACAGCTCCTCCTCCAAAATCCCGTACAAAAAAGCTGTATTAATGTCATGATGGGAAACATGCAGTTTCTCCTCCGCAGCGATCTTGAGCATCAGCTGAATGCTCTCATACTTGACTGTGGGAGAGTAGGTCTCGTGGTAATCCTGTCCTGGTACCTGTGAAAAACCTGTGGCAACCAATCTGGCTTTGTGTCTGACAACCTTGCCATTCTGCTCTGTCTTGGCCTTGAAGACCCATTTGCTGCCAACCAGTCTCATCCCTGGGACTACCGGTACCAGTTCCCAAGTTTGGTTCCTATTCAAGGAATCAACTTCAGCCTTCATGGCATTAAGCCAAGGCTCAGCATCTTTAGAGGCTAACTCCTGAACCTCTTTGAAGCTTGAAGGTTCCCACACCTTCTCTGAGCTACTAAGAACGGCAGTTGCCGTCTTAGCAAACTCATCGGCAAATCTCCTTGGAGGTCTGCCTTTGGTCGCCCTTTCAGATCTGCGTACTAGACGCAAGTCTTCTGGACTCATCTCCTCTTTCTTAGGAGAAAAGTGACCAATGGTGAACAGTGGTTCTTCCAGTTCATTGTCAGACGCATCAGATGGTCTGACTGAGGTCTTTGCGCTCTTGTAGTCTGCTGTGTCATCACTGTCGCTGACATCAGCAGCAGCGCCACCCACTGAGCTGGAATCCAAACTCTGATCATCATCATCCTCAGCTTCCTCAGCTTCCTCTTCTACCTGAACATCATCTGCTTTTTTCACATCACCTTCATCTTCCTCTGGGTAACTCTGGAAAATTCCCACATTTCCCCCCCACTTAGGATTGTACTCAACACTCTTTGTGAACTTAATGGACTTAGAATCAGTCATCCATACTCTGTATGCACCTTTTTCATACCCCATGAACAAACCATGTGCCCCACGCTTCCCAAGCTTGTTGCTTTGTGGGGTGTGTACCCACATGTCAGAACCAAAGATTCTCATGTGCTTGACGTAAGGTTTCTTACCAAACATCTTCTCATAGGGAGTACAACCAATAGGTGATGACAATCTGCGATTATAAGTATAAACAAAAGTGGACAGAGCCTCCCCCTAAAACTTCTCAGGGAGATTGGCATCATGCAACAATGTTTTCAGTCCTTGCAGCAACGTTTGCTTTGCTTACTCACAAATCTCCCATGGAGATCCAGGACTTGAGAGGCTATGCTGGATTCCCTTCTCAGTCAGGAAAGCTTCAAACTGCCGAGAAGTGAATTCAGCCTCTCGATTAGTAAACAAACAGCCAATGCGTTTACTGTGAACATTCTCCAACCAAGCACAGAATGCCTTGAACCTAGGAAACGCTTGCGATTTCTGCTCAAGCATAAACACATGAATGTACCTGGAAAAAGAATCAATTAGAACCATGAAGTACCTTGCTCCACCCAAAGGGGGCGCAAGTGGACCAACCAGGTCTGCGTGGACTAGCTGGTAGGGTTTGGAAGCCTGCCTGCTAGACTCCTTGCCTTTTGGAGCAACCTTCACCTTGTTATCTGCACAAGATACACATTTCATGTGATACTTACAGGGTTTGATGTTCCAACCCTGAACCAACTCAGGCATCTTGGCCAGCGCCTGCCAAGACATGTGACAAAATCTTCGATGTGCTTCATGAATGCATCCTGCATGAAGAACTTTGTTAGTTTGTGCAACACAACAAGAATCAACATTAGACAGAGCAACAGCACCATTGTCATCATAAGTTATACAGAACAAACCATCTATAAACTTTGCATGCAAAATGTCCTCTTTGCCTTTCCTGATGACACAGACGCTCCTCTTGAAGGAAATCTCAAAGCCACGCCCAGTCAGCTGTGGGACACTGAGCAAATTGTCTGCAGCACCTGGAACATAAAGAACATCTTTGATGGTTGTGTGCAGACTTGCCAGTTTTACAGTCCCTTCTCCTGCGATTCGCAACGTCTTTCCATCAGCCTGGTGGATCTCTCCATCTTGAGGTTTGAAGGAGATAAACAGATGCTTATCTTTTGCCAGATGGTGGGTGCATCCAGAATCGACAATAAATCTGGCCTTGGCCTTTGGAGCAGCTTTTGCAGCAAGCAAAACCTTGTTTTCCACCGGTGTGGGCTTTTGCTGCTTGCCCCCCTGCTCCTGGCCATCAAACTTGCCTTTAGCCTTTGGTGAAGCTGTGCCAGCAAACAAAGCCTTGTTTTCCACTGGCGTGGGCTCTTCACCCCCCTTCTGCTTCGGGCCATCTGCAGGCATCTGTCTCTGTTTACTTCTTGCCTTTCGGTATCTGTGAGGATGACCTTGGCTCCCATGAGAAACAGAGCCCTGAGCTGCCAACTCCTTGGCTCCCCCTGGAGGCTGGAATGCTGCCTGGGATGACATCACAGTCAGCTCCCCCTGCAGCTTGCAATACTTCCTTCTTCCACCTTTAAAGTATATGTAAGGAAAGCCACTTCCGAGCTGGAGAGGAGGTGGGGCTGCGGGCCCACACCCTCCCCACGCACGCAGGGCTGGCTCACAGCCCCGCGAGAGCAGGGGAATCCTTGGGCGCGTCACCGACCCGGCCAGCCAATCGGCGGGCTGGGGAGGTGTGGCCTAGCACACTTAAGGCTGGCGCGCCCGGGGATTTTCCTCTCTGCCCCGTTCCAGCTGCTGCGGTTTGGATCGTTCTGCGAAGCTGCCGTTTGCCGTTTTATCCTTGCTGCTTTTGCTCCAGTTTTCGCACTGCTTCTCCGCTCGCTTCTTAGTCGGTCTATCTTTTCACCCGCGACCCGTGCGTAGCCCTCCGAGCCCATCGGGCACGCCAGGCCATCCGCGCACTGCCGCCTTGCCGAAGAAGCCGCTGCCGGATGCCTTTGAAAGAGCTGAAATCACGCGCAGGGTTCTGGCTGGGCTTGGGTTGCTTCGGGTCACTTTCATTTGGATCTCCTTCGGATTGCTAGCGAGCTCTCTTTTTGCCTCCGCGAGCTCTCTTTTTCGGCTCCGACCGGCAGATCGCGGCCACCAGCCAACGGGCTCCTGGCCTCGTGGCGACCAGGCTCTTGCCAGATATATTTTTTTTCCATGTTCAGAGCTGAAATCGCTGGGAGGTTTTGATTTTTAGGGTTGTTTTCGCTGCTTTTCCCCTGTTGCCGCTGGTGGAAGCGTATTCAGAGCATCCATTCTTAAGGAAATCAGCCCTGAGTGCTCACTGGAAGGACAGATCCTGAAGCTGAGGCTCCAATGCTTTGGCCACCTCATGAGAAGAGAAGACTCCCTGGAAAAGACCCTGATGTTGGGAAAGATGGAGGGCGCAAGGAGAAGGGGAGACAGAGGACGAGATGGTTGGACAGTGTTCTCGAAGCTACAAACATGAGTCTGACCAAACTGCGGGAGGCAGTGGAAGACAGGAGTGCCTGGCATGCTCTGGTCCATGGGGTCACGAAGAGTCGGGCACGACTAAACGACTAAACAACAACAACAACAACAACAACAACTAATAATAATAATAATAATAATAATAATAATTTATTTGTACCCCGCCCATCTGGCTGGGTTTCCCCAGCCACTCTAAGCGGCTTCCACAGCAACCAAAAATACACAAAAATGTCACACATTAAAAACTTCCCTGAACAGGGCTGCCTTAAGATGTCTTCTGAATGTCAGGTAGTTGTTTATCGCTTTGACATCTGATGGGAGGGCGTTCCACAGGGCGGGGGCCACTACCGAGAAGGCCCTCTGCCTGGTTCCCTGTAGCTTTGCTTCTTGCAATGAGGGAACCGCCTAAAGGCCCTTGGAGCTGGACCACAATGGGGGTGGAGACGCTCTTTTGGGTATGCTGGGCCGAGGCCGTTTAGGGCTTTAAAGGTCAACACCAACACTTTGAATTGTGCTCGGAAACGTAGTGGGAGCCAATGTAGGTCTTTCAAGACCGGTGTTATACCTCAGCACGGCGCAGGGACTGACTGAGCGGGTGGCGAGATGCTTTCAGCCTCGAACACTTGGCGGCAGTGGCGTAGCGTGGGGGGTGCAGGGGGGGCCGGCCGCACCGGGCGCAACATCTGGGGGGGGGCGCGCTCGCACTCGCAGCTCTCTGCCCCTACCTGGCTCACTCACTCTCTCTCACTGCAGTGCTGGCTGTGCGAATCCGATCCGAGCCGCTGGGTCGCCGCCCACTGTGGAGGGGGTGGGTGCCAGGCGTGCGGTGCGGAGAGAGAGCGAGGGACTATCTGGGGGAGGGACAGTGCAGGGGCCGCCCAGCGCAGCGCTGAGCGCGGGAGAGAAAAACACCAGCCCAGCCCAGGCAGCAGCAAGAAGAAGCTGGCAGCGGCGGCAGGTTAGGGGTTAGGGGGCGCAAATTACTTGCCTTGCCCCGGGTTAGGGGGCGCAAATTACTTGCCTTGCCCCGGGTTAGGGGGCGCAAATTACTTGCCTTGCCCCGGGTGCTGACAACCCACGCTACGCCACTGCTTGGCGGGTTCTGAAATGGTCGCGCAGGCCAGATTCACGACCCTGGAGGGCTGGATTCGGACCGCGGGACATAGTTTGAGGACCCCTGGTCTACACTGACTGGCAACAGCTCCCCAGAGTTTTAGGCAGGGATTTTGTCCAGCCCTGGCAGGAGATGTCAGGGGTTGACCCTGGGACATTCTGCATGCCAAGCAGATACTCTAGGGCTCCCCATATTTCCCTGTACTTTCAACGTTATGCTATTAGCAACCGTGGAGATTCCACCTCCCTCTTTTGAAAGGAGAACACTCACCTGATCAATAATAATAATAATAATAATTTATACCCCACCCATCTGGCTGGGTTCCCCAGCCACTCTGGGCGGCTTCCAACAAAATATTAAAATACAATAGCCCATCAAATATTAAAAGCTTCCCTAAACATAATAACAACAACCATCCATTTTCAGTCCATTGAACTAGCAATTGAGCATTTCTGGAAAGGGAAATGACATACTTTTGTGGCGTGCATAAGTGTGCATAAGAAAGTATTACTCATTTATGATGAGAATAGGATTTATTTCTTTTGAACCTCGCATGGTTCCTCCTTGGCAGCCAGTGCAATGGTTTCAGCAGGGCTAGAACTCAGGATCCGCTGCCTTGAGGGACATCTAAGAGCAGTTGGGCAGGGAAAGGTCTCCCTTGGGAGGTGGTGGACTCTCCGTCCTTGGAGGTTTCTCAGGAGAGGTCGGACGGCCATCTGCCATGGATGCTTTAGATAGATAGATAGATAGATAGATAAATTTATTGTCATTGTCCGTATATACACAGTATACACAACAACGAAAATCAAACACCCACCCAAAGACCGGGTTCACATACACATTTGCACGTATCTCCAACACTCTCATCCTATTCAGACATAATCTATAAAAACATATCATACTCCAGAATGTAACATAACCTATTTAGGGCATAACATAACCTAAAAACCTGTCTCATTCCTTCCTACTCCCTGCTTGCTATTTCTTGCAACTGGCCCTGAGATCATTATTTAGTGCAATCAGAGCTCTTGGATAGAAACTATTCAGAAGGCGTGTGGTTCGTGTTTTCATTGTCCTATATCTTCTGCCCGAAGGCAACAGTTCAAAGAAGTTGTGAGCAGGATGGGTGGGATCTCTCAGGATATTGTGTGACTTCTTCAAAGTGCGAGACGTGAAGATCTCATCCAGGGTTGGTAGTTGGAGCCCAATAACATTCTGGGCAATTTTAATTATTCTCTGTAAAGCTTTTTATCCGTTTCAGAGCTGCTCCCATACCACGATAATATACTATATGTTAAGACACTCTCGATGGTACTGTGATAATAGGACAGAAGTAGGTGCTGAGATAGATTCAGTCCCCTGAGCATTCTCAGGAAATACAACCTCCCCTGCACCTTCCTCACCACCATATTAATATTTGCAGTCCATGAGAGGTCCTCAGAGATGTAAATGCCCAGGTATTTAAAACTACCAACCCTTTAGCTGAGATTCCTGCATTGCTTCGGGCTGGACTAGATGACCCTGGGATCCCCTCCTATCTCTCCACTCCTGAATTCTAGGAGGAGCTTCCTTGCCTCCTGCAAAGCCCTTTTCCCTGCAAGCTCTTCCTCTGGTTTCTGGCCAAGGGAGGGAGATGCTCAGAGTCCAGCCAAGAGCCTCACCCCCAAAAGGATATCTGGGCATTGGCGGAGCCGGGGGGGCAGCTGCCCCCCTTAATCCATTAAAAATAATAAGAATCTGAGGATCTGCCAAGCGAGAGAGGGCTGAGCTGGAGGGACTCGGCTTGGCAAGGGTTAAAGGGAAGTGAGCTGCCTTCCTAGAGAGGACAGGAAGCAAGGGGGGGCCAGGTCCTCCAGAGCCAAGGCCCCTCCCTCCCCAGTCCTTTCCTGCTTTGGTGTCTCTCCTGCAAGGGCCGAATCGCAGCCCCCTCCTGGGATCTGGTGAGTCCATAGCTGTCAACTTTCAGATTTGAAAATAAGGGATCAGCAGCCTTGAAAATAAGGGATCAGCAGCCTCACCTATCTACCAATCCGGGATAGCAGCAGGAGGCAGCGGGAAACGGCGCTGCAATAAGGGAATTTCCCGCAAAAAAAGGGAAGGTTGACAGCTAAGGGTGAGTCTCCTCTCTCTCCCCCCAGAGGGTGCAGTGGGGAGACGGGGGGGGGTCTCAGGGCTGCAGCAGGGGAGGGTGCCTGGGGGGCCGGATCTGCTCATGTGGGGGGGGGACCCCAAGTCAGGGAGGAGAGGGTCCTGCCAGGGAGGGGCCAGGTCTGCCACGCTCTCCTTCCTGCAGATCAGAGGATCCCTGACTCCCACGAAATCTCCCTTCTTTAAACAAAGGAGTCCCTGGGACTTTAACTCTGTGTGACATCGCTCAGCGTCATTGCACAACAGAGGAAACATCTGCAAATGGTTTTCCAAAGCTGGAGGAGGAGGTGGACACTAGCCCCCCCCAAAAAACGGGGAGGAAGGAAGGAAAGTAGGAAAGAGAGGCCAGGAATAAAGAGAGGGATCCCAGCCCATAGTCTGGCTGCTGCATTGCAAACCAGTTTGTGTTAAGCTATCCAATAGAACAACAAAAAATCAAAAAATCAAGGGAGATGTCTTTGGCCCCGCCCACTTGGCCCTCAGGGGTTGGCCAGATACATTCCTGGCCCTCAGGAGCAGAGAAAGGAGACCTCACCCCACGAATCTGTCTGGACAGCGGTAGAGATTGCAGAAAAGGAGACAGAAGCAGGGAGTGGAGGTGGGGTGGGGGGGGGGGGGGGGAGCAACTCCCGAGGACCCCCAGGTCAGGACCCCCACTAGAGAAAAGCATCCATTTATCACAAGATACAAATGACTCCCTTGTCATTCGGTTCTGACTTCATGCATTGACTGGAAGGCAGCAGAAACCAGGATGATTAATCTGACAGAAATCCCTTCCGTTGCCTCCACATTCTGCATTGCTTGAAGGCTAGAGACTTATTTCTTCTCCTCTTCCTCCTCCTCTTTCTTTTCAAAAAGATATCTCATGGTCTGGGATGCGGCGCACTTCAGCCCTGGTTCCCAGCAAGACTCATCCATGCTTGCTCAGGGAACCATTTCCCCCCCTGTCCTACAAATTCTGTAACAGAACAATGTATTTGCTTTGTAGGATTTGCTAGAGCTTCTCATTTAGACGGACAGAACTTGGCAGAAGACCAAAGGGTTCCTTCTGATCTCTCAGAGGCTTCCTGAGAGCACAGATGGATGAGCAAGACTCAGCTGGCCCTGGAACAGGAAGAGGTCATGCCAACCAAACTGGGAGCAGTGGGGGATTCTGGGAAAACTCTGTGCAGAAGATCCATGGTGAGGTGGACACCCTCCGCTCAGAGGTGCAGAGCCAGCAGGTGAGGCAGTTCTGCTGCCAGGAGGCCAAAGGACCGCGGGAGGTTTGCAGCCGACTCCACCACCTTGACCATCAGTGGCTGAAGCCAGAAAGGCACACGAAAGCTGAGATGCTGGACCTGGTGATCTTGGAGCAGTTCCTGGCTGTCCTTCCACCAGAGATGGAAAACTGGGTGAGGGACTGTGGAGCGGAGACCAGTTCGCAGGCGGTGGCCCTGGCCGAAGGTTTCCTCCTGAGTCAGGCAGAGGAGAGAAAGCAGGCAGAGAGAAAGCAGGTGAGAGAGACTTTCCTCTGGATACTCCCAAGGGGCTCCAAACAGGACAGAGAACATCCCATAATGGTCTGCTGATGGCCCATTTTCTGGGAAAGCATCCATGGAATGAGATCTCGCACCCTTGAAGTCTTTGCCATTCTCTTTCTAGTATTTCTCCCCATTCTCTGTTTTGAATCCTTGTTTCTTTCTCAGGGAAAGGATCTCTTTGCAGAAATGGACCTGGATTCCTGTGAGGCAGAGAGGCCTCCGTTGGACACCAGAGAGAGGCCACTGGGTAAGGAGGAAGGTGGTTTTTCTCCACTGGTCTCATTCTGTTGGTTTCCCAACTCATCTGAGGGTTCTTTTCATCTTGTTTTGGGGGGAGACAGTTGGGAAGAAGGGTCCAGAGGAGGGGAGATGTATTTCTGCACAAAGAAACATATGAAATGGGCACAAACCTCCAAATGCACTCAGCGGGTGAGGCTTTCTCAAAGGCCCATCTGTAGTTAGAGATGCCCTGTTTCACCTCTGAGAGATGCAGGCACTCTGTTTACGTCCTGTTTACGTTTTTTCTCTTGCAGGTGGCAGAAGGATGCCGGCAAGACCTCCTGATCCGCCTTTTCATGGGGGCAGAAGGGAAGCAGCGGCTGTGGAACCAGATTAGGTCAGGGGAAGCTGCCTTGTGGCGACTAGAGACCGAGGGATGGAGCAATGTCATGGACTGGTTGGGCACAGAGAAATGGTGGGAGGATGCAGCTGGGGAACCAGGAAGGGAAGATGGCTCACATCCGAAGGAGTGGAGGTGGAGGAAGGATGAGCGGTCAGAGGAAGAAGAGGGAAAAGACTGGGAAGAGGAGATGTCAGAAGCCGAAGAAGTAACAGGGTTTAGTGAGCTGGGAGATTCTGTGGCAGAATGCAGCACAGAATCAGAGGCAGAAGAGGAAGGAGGCAAGTGGGAGAGGAAGGTCGAGAGGCTGAGGTGAGTCAGGAGAAGGAGGAGCCACCGGTGGCTCCCTCTCCTTTTGCCAGAAGCCACCCTCCCTGCTTGTCTCTCAGAGCCAGGAGACCCCCTGCAATGCAGGAATCTCTGCTAGATCATCCAAGACAGATGGCCATCCAAAAGAGGCTTATTTTATTTCTAGACTGATAACTGAATGCAAAAATTGGTTTCTAAGCAGCGGACAAATGAGAACAAATAGTGGCCTGGATTCACCTAACCAGCCCCATCGGATGAAAAATGGGGCCTGCCCCCCATCCCTCCCCCTCTCCATGCTCCCCTGAACCCCTTGAATTTGGCTGTAGGGCATGGGGAGGGAACTCACCAGAACAGCTCATGAGGAGAGGAGAAAGTGGATCCTTCCATCAGGCAAACTGGAAAGCTTGGGTAGGCAGAATGATTTGAAAACCACATGTGGAGTACCACCTGTTTGCACAAAGACAAATACCCATAATTAAAACGCAGAATAAAATAAGCATCCATAATTAAAATGTGCAGCAAAGCAATCCTATTGAAACAACACCGCAATGTACAGGAAGGAAACCACAGAGCATTGTGGAGCAGATCATATTTCTGCTGTCTCAGAGGAGGACATTTCCTTTTTCTTTTAGGGTCCAGTGTGCTTTGAAGATGTCGCTGTTCGTTTCACGGACGAGGAGTGGGAGTTGCTGGATCCTGACCAGAGAGCTCTGCATAAGGACGTCATGGAGGAGAATCGTGGGATCGTGGCCTCTCTTGGTAAGGCTCCCTGTGGGATTGTCATATCAGCCTGGAAATACAAAAAATACCTCTATGTGACCAACCTCATATATTTTCACAGAGCCCCCTATGACACCTGGGAACCTAACACCCCCACAATAAACAGTAAATTACAGTTTTTTCTTTGAACAATCTTCTTCAAATTTTTCCTTTTTCTACCACGATTGGGCTGGTCTGAACTGCCCAGGCCATCTTAAATCTCAGCTTCAGAAAGATAAGTAGCTTCAGGTTTTCTGTTTTTGCTCCTGTCAGTCTTGGATTGACCAAAGAGACGACTGACATTGGAGATGGAGGGGATGCCATGACTGGACCAAATAAAATTCATCCCAGAGAAGAACTAGACATTGAATTTCAGGAAAAGTAGCGGTGATGATGATGATGATAGTAATACAGTGGTACCTCGGTTTAAAACTTAATAATAATAATAACAACAACAACAACAATAAGAAACTTAAAATTTTCCGGAAGAGGACTGTTCTTAAATCGAGGTACCACTGTAGTAATAATAATAATTTTTTATTTCTACCCTGCCCATCTGGCTGGGTTCCTCTAGCCATTCTGGGCGGCTTCCAACATATATATAAACATGAAACATAAATAATTATAATCTGATCCCATATAAAAAGAACATTAACTTTATTTTATTTTTTTTACCAATCAATTTTTATTGTTTTCTTTACACAGTCATTTTACAATACATTAAATCACATATATACTTTTAGCTCTGCCGAGCTTGCGACTTCCCTCCTTCCCTTCAGCAGGTATCCCTTATTTTCTCCAGTTGCGTATTTTAATTTCTAACCTTGTATCTGTCTTATACATTGTAGGAGTTATTTCAATCCTGCCAGTGTTTTTAAATTTTTTACAATTATCCTTTAAGTACACAGTACATTTACTCCAACTTTCCTGAAATCTCTGATCGTCCTAATCCCGAATCCTGCCAGTCAGTTTGGCTACCGTATTTTTCGGACTATAGGACGCACCGGCCCATAGGACGCACCTAGTTTTCAGGGGGGGAAATCAAGGAAAAAAATATGATTTCCCCCCCGCAGCTCTGGGAGCAGCGGACAGGCTGCACGCAGCCTCTCCGCTACTCCAAGACCTTCTCCCTGCTTTTGCGGGAGGTGGCGGAATTCCCCACCTCCCGCAAAGCCCACAGGAGCCCCACGCGACTCCTGCGGGCTTTTCGACCAGGAGGGAGAAGGGACTGAAACGGCCAGTCAGTCCCTTCTCCCTCCTCGGGGAAAAGCCCCCAAGAGCGGCGCGCTCTTTAAAGGGTGCGCGGCTCCTGCAGGCTTTTCTAGGAGGTGGGGGAATTCCTAGAAAAGCCCGCAGAAGCCGTGGAGCCCCTTTAAAGAGCACGAGGCTTTGCGGGAGGTGGGGAATTCCCCATCTCCCCCAACAGCCCGCAGGAGGGAGAAGGGACTGACTCGGCCAGTCAGTCCCTTCTCCCTTCTTGGGGAAAAGCCCGCAGGAGTCGCGCGGGGCTCCTGTGGGCTTTTGCGGGAGGTGGGGGAATTCCCCCCCTCGTAGAAAAGCCAGCAGAAGCCGCGGAGCTCCTTTAAAGAGCACGAGGCGTTTGCGGGCTTTTGCGCGACGTGGGGGAATTCCCCCCTCGCCCCACAAGCCCACAGGAGGGCGGAGGGACTGACTCGGCCAGTCAGGCCCTTCTCCCTCCTCGGGTAAAAGCCCCCAAGAGCGGCTCGCTCTTTAACGGGGGTGCGGCCCCTGCGGGCTTTTCTAGGAGGTGGGGGAATTCCCCCACCTCCTAGAAAAGCCGCGGAGCCCCTTTAAAGAGCGCGCGGCTTTTGCCTGCTTTTGCGGGAGGTGGGGGAATTCCCCCATCTCCCGCAAAAGCCCAAAGGAGGGTTGGAGAGTAGCGGGAGGGCGTCGCGTGCCTTCCGGCTGCCCCCCCTCCTCTGGCGCTGGCGATGGGGAAGCGCTGCTTTCCCACCGCCAGCCTCAGCCGGGTTGGAGGGTAGCGGCAAGGCGTCGCGCGCCTTCCCGCTGCCCCCATCCTCTGGGGCTGGCGATGGGGAAGCGCTGCTTCCCCACCGCCAGCCTCGAGCCGGGTTGGAGGGTAGCGGCAAGGCGTCGCGCGCCTTCCCGCTGCCCCCATCCTCTGGGGCTGGCGATGGGGAAGCGCTGCTTTCCCACCGCCAGCCTCGAGCCGGGTTGGAGGGTAGCGGCAAGGCGTCGCGCGCCTTCCCGCTGCCCCCATCCTCTGGGGCTGGCGATGGGGAAGCGCTGCTTCCCCACCGCCAGCCTCGGCCGGGTTGGAGGGTAGCGGCAAGGCGTCGCGCGCCTTCCCGCTGCCCCCATCCTCTGGGGCTGGCGATGGGGGAGCGCTGCTTCCCCACCGCCAGCCTCGAGCCGGGTTGGAGGGTAGCGGCAAGGCGTCGCGCGCCTTCCCGCTGCCCCCATCCTCTGGGGCTGGCGATGGGGAGCGCTGCTTCCCCACCGCCAGCCTCGGCCGGGTTGGAGGGTAGCGGCAAGGCGTCGCGCGCCTTCCCGCTGCCCCCATCCTCTGGGGCTGGCGATGGGGAAGCGCTGCTTTCCCCACCGCCAGCCTCGGCCGGGTTGGAGGGTAGCGGCAAGGCGTCGCGCGCCTTCCCGCTGCCCCCATCCTCTGGGGCTGGCGATGGGGAGCGCTGCTTCCCCACCGCCAGCCTCGAGCCGGGTTGGAGGGTAGCGGCAAGGCGTCGCGCGCCTTCTCGCTGCCCCCATCCTCTGGGGCTGGCGATGGGGAGCGCTGCTTTCCCCACCGCCAGCCTCAAAAGCAGACTCTCCTGGCTTCAGCGGAGCAACGCGAAGCCTCCGGAGCGCAGGCTTCGGAGGCTTCGCATTGCTATCGCTGAAGCCGAGGAGTCTGCATTCGCTCCATAGGACGCACACACATTTCCCCTTCATTTTTGGAGGGGAAAAAGTGCGTCCTATGGTCCGAAAAATACGGTAATTCCGTGTAGTTCAACATTTTCGTCTGCTACTCCACAATGGTGGGAACGTATTGTAATTTCCAGTTTTGGGCCAATATATTCTTTGCTGCCACTGTGGCATACATAAATAGCATTTGGTCTGTTTTCTTAACCTCCTTCCCCATCAAACCCAACAAAAAAGCCTCTAGTTTTTTGGGAAAGGTATATTTAAGTACTTTCTTAAGTTCATTATAGATCAACTCCCAAAAATTCTTGACTTTATCACAAGTCCACCACATATGATAGAAGTCTCCATCCACCTTTTACATTTCCAGCATTTCTTATCCCTCATCCTATACATTTTTGCCAGTTTTACTGGTGTCAAATGCCACCTATATATCATCTTCATTAAATTTTCTTTTAAAGCCGTACACACCGTGAATTTCATACTTTTGTTCCATAATTTTAGCCATGCATCCAGTTCAATAGTATGCCTAAAATCTATATCCCATTTTATCATTGCTTCTTTCACCTCTTCAACTTTTGAAACCATTCTAATAACAAATCATATATCTTAGATAGTATTCTACCTCTGCCTTCCTCTAATTCTAACTGAAATCTTGATTTTTTTATCCTTAAACCCGGCTTTCCTTTTATCCTCACTCAATATATCATTCACCTGATGGTATTGCAACCAACCTGTAAACATGCCCTCTCTTTACTCTTATGGTTTAAGTTTTAACCCTTGTTCCATTTTTCTAATAATTTCCTCATAGGTGGCTCACCTTCCTTCCATATTTACTTTTTTAACTGTCAGTACCTCTATTGGCGATATCCACCATGGGGCTTTCCTTTCCAATAAATATTTGTTTCTTTCCCATACTTCATAAATTGACCTTCTGATCACATGGTTTAAAAAACCTTTAAGCTAAGAAACCAGAGGCCTTTCTCCTGGGCATAGTCGGCCAAATGGTGTTAAAAAGGATAGAACTT